GTGAGTAAGATTCTTTCATATATGTCAAATGTCTGAGATGTGCAATTTTTCTGCTGGGGTGATATGGTGCTGTCATGTTATGTGTTCAGTATGGTCCCTTGTCCATCACTTGAGTGAAGTAGTATAATAAAAAGGATGCCTCTGTGACTTATATTCTTTACAGTAGATATTCATGTATTTATGTATTTATACTTATACATTTGTATTATGTAATAGTCTGTTTACTATTTGAACTTACACATGATGGTATCATATATGCATTTATTCTCCAACAGAAGGTTGTTTGTAATTTATATTCATATTCCATAGATAATTTCTGCTGTGTTTGCTGTGGTGTTGTAGCTGTTATTAGAAAGACTGTGATTTGTCTTTTATAGTAGTTTCAGTGGAAAAAAAAAAAGCAAATGCTTCAGCTAAATAAGGTGTTAGAACCTAATATTTAAAATGGTATTGCAAATGCATGAATTATATTCTGGTGATGGAATGATTATGGCATCTATTATAGTGCATTTATTTATCATAGAAGGTTTTATAATTGATATGGGTCTCATTTAATAGTGGTAGTGGTGTCCCAAGTACTGTACATTAATACAAGTTTAACATTTAGCTCCTTATTTGGGGTAGGTTGAAATTGCAATTTTTGAGACTGCAAACTATAGTGGACCTTGTATATATATTGCACGTATAAATGCCATCTATAGAAAAAGCAATTTATGTTGAAGTTACTTCTAGTAAAATTATAACTTAATCCTAGAACAATCAAATACAGTGTGCAATGGAAGATATTTTGTTTGTAATGAATAGCCGTAGAAGTGACTTAATTCAACGCTTCAATAGAATAGTTCACTGTTCTGGTATGTGGTCCCTCATTCATCCCTTTTACTACTCAAATTCTTGTGTGTTTTCAAGTGGTAGTATGGTAGTTTTGAAAGCATACATTGCCTCATTGTACTGTACAGTGCCTGCTTGATATCCTGCCTTTGGATCTTTCAAATCTCTGGATTGGCTGAACTTTTTAAGCTTGGATATATTTCTCCAGGTATAATGAGTTGAGCTTGATAAATTGTGTGCAAGTTTGGCCAGTCAAGTGCACATGTGCACATGGAAGGCTCTGACCAAGCATTGCTTGTGTTTGCAAGTCATATTTTAAAACAATACAGTAAAAAGTAAAAATAATAAACTATGGCATATTAAAAAAAATGTTGTCGAACAATTATCATTTGTTAACAATGCATTATTGATTGATCAAGGAAGAGCACAGTAGGTACAGCACAGTATTTCTGAGCTATGCCTCTTAGTTTGTCACTAATCTCACAGAACTAAACCAGTGCTGAACACATCAGCTCTGAACTAAGATAGTAGATTGGAGAGAATCAGGGACATTGAAAGTTCTTTACCAACTCACAAGATTAGCAGTATTAATATATTCTGGACTAGTATTAGAGCATAAATAAAATAAACATGGCCCATAGTGCACCGTAAATTTCACGGGTGTAAACACGTCCATCTGAAGTTAAATCTGGTCCCAGTCTGCTGACTACACACTTGATAACAGTCAGGAAGTATGTAATCTGGCTTGTGTGAGGGGGGTTCCAGGGATGGGCATGGTGGTGTCACCTGGTGTTGGCCAGACAGTCTAATCGGTAGTAGCTAGAGCTATCATCATTTGTCACCTGTCATATTCAAGAGAGGATTCAGAAGGTCTTTGAAGTTTTATTAACTGACCTCTGGCAGTCGTTTAGGCTATACTGTACGTACAGTATTAATCTCCAATGACTTCTCAGCACTTATGTAATTTTACAAAGTTCTTTAAGAATTCCCTATGGTGTCATGTTGCATGTTGACCTGCCTGAGGTTATGTGGATCTTACTCATACTAAAAGGAGAATATTAATTCTCCTCAGAATTAGCTCCTCAGAATAGCTCAGAAATAGACTATTCAAATGAAAAAAAAAACACCTGTACAAAGTTAATTCGTGTGTGTGTGGCATATGCACAGGGAGATAGTGAGTATGGCTCTGTTTCATCTGTTTATATATATCAGATTTTAGATCTAGCCATAGTATTTTTATTGCAAACAGATGGGCGCATTATATTTTTGTTACAATAAAGCTAAAAAAGAAATGCAGTTTATTAAAGCAAAATTAATAAATTTAGTGCTCATGAATTACCTGTTAGGCCATTAGGTGGCAGCACCTACACCACAACAGGGTATACGTTCTTCCTGACTGGTTTCCATGGGGCACTTCTTCATCCTTAGAAATGTACGTTTTGTTGTGCGGTGGTCTTATGCTGTAAGTGAATGCATGTGCATATGTTGACCATTCATTATGAGTTTAAGCTGATCGGCTTAACAAAATTATTTATTGCGTTCAAGAGTTATCTTCTCTGGTGTTTAGCTTGGTTAATGCATTTCAGCAGTGGATATCTTCTCTTGAGATTGTCGTTATATTTCTGGTTTCCTGAAGTTTGTTACAGGAAATTTGTATAGGCACTGTTATTCATTAAAAGGGTACATTTGGTTGTTTCACCACTTGTGTGTGTGGAACACACACTGCAGTCTGTTTAGCACTCAAGCCATGCCCTAGCAAATTATTATGCTTGTATTTGTTTCACAGCTTTCTCACTCAGTTGCTCCCAGAGGCAAGACATTACTAAGTTTTAATAAAGTATTTGCAGTCAGAGCATGTCAACATTCTGCACCAATGCAGTTGGTAACTTTACATGCCATCTTTTCCAGTTCATACTGTTACTCTCAGGATACTGGACAATACTGAATCCAGCTCAAAATGTAGATAGGAATGTGTTTTGCATCAAAAGTCTTTCCAGGCACAACTTGGTAACACAAAGGCTGCCAAACTGCTCTCTGACTTGGCAACTGAACAATTTGCAAAGTCATCACCATTTGCCTCATAGCTCATGTGTTTTAGGCTTGAAAGCCATTTAGTAGCATGTCTTTGCACCTTTTCTCTTACTAATGTGCTTTTTAAGATAGGGACATTATATAACTGCTGTATTCTCATATTTTGATCACGAATGTCATGAACTGTTTCTTTCATATTTCATCATCCATGTATTTAAAAGCAATTTTGAAATTTGCAAATATATAATTGCCCAAGAAAGTGTAGAATATTTTTAGTACAGATTCTGTGCTCATTGAGTAACTTTTCCACTTTGTCGCTAGACACCTCTGTGCATTCTGTGGTGTTCTCTGGAATTCTTATTGTGTCTGGCTCTGAAGATTTAATTTTGCACAAACACTTTGGAGCTTCATTTGATGTTTTACACATTTTCTTTTGTTCTTTGTGTATCTGTTCCCTATTTTCAACCTCTGAATTTTATCCTTTATCTGCAAATTTGCTTCTAATGAATACAGTATAGAATAGGTCTGGTTCTGTTTTATATTTGTCCACTATTGCCTTCTCAAAATTTTTTCAGCCTCTTCTCACAGCCATGTAGGTGTTTCTTGCTTTTTTGTGTTTCTGGTATATTTGAGGGTTTGGTTTCTCCCTACAGTATATTGATTACAGTATATTGCTTTGACTCAGGTTTATCACCATTTGTATGGTGATTAGATGTCTTCGTTGATGTTGTTCCACCTACGGGCTTCGTCTCGGCGACAGTATGAAGTTTTCTGCCATTCTTTTCCCCATTTTCTGTCTCTTCATAGGTTGTCTTCTATTTCTGATCGGGTCGTCTTGTCTTTCTTTCTTGGCTTTTTTCAGGACCGTCGTTAAATGCTGAATGCTGTCACTTTGTATCGTGTGGCGCTGGTGGAACCACTCCAACCTGCGTTTGGGGTGGATGTGATTTCCGCCCTATTCTGTAAGCTTTTTCTCGTGCTTTGTTTCAGCTCCGATCTGCTCATGTGCCACCTGAGCAGTCCTGGTCCTTGGACCAGGTGCTTTCTTTTCTCTCTTCTCCTCGGTTTGTGGTGGCCCCTTCGATTCAAGATTGTTTTTCCAAGGCTCTGTTTGTGTTGGCATTGGTCTCTGGGTGTCGGGTTGGTGAGCTTCATACTCCTCTAGTGCAGGGGTTTTTGCTCTTTCAGTCCTGGTGATCAGTTTGTTCGGTTGCAGCCGTCTCCTTATTTTCTGGCGAAGAACGAGATGGCGTCTTTCCAGAGGGGCCGTTGGGTCATTAATGCTTGGTTGGTCAGGCCGGGGGTGTATCATGTGTTGTGTCCGGTTGCGACTTCGCCGTTATCTGCGCGCCTCGGCCTCTGTGGCTGGGGACACGCTTTGGGTTGATCCAGTTTCCCTCGTTCCCTTTTCCAGAGCTCGGGTCTCCTAGGTTGTCTGCAGGGTTATTCAGTCCAGCCAGCCTGCAGTCTATCCTCATACCAATGACGTTCGTAAGTTTGCTGCTTTGGCTGCCATCTTTGGTAACATGTCTTGGGCTGACATTCGGGCACGAGGGTTTTGGAGGTCGAACAGGGTCCAGGCCCGCCTGTTACCTGGTTATTGTTTCTGGCCCTAGCCGAGCGTGTGTCTCTTTGGGTCACTGGCTGCAGCTAGCTGTCTCAACTTCGTGTTAAGGAGCAAGTGGCAGCCGCCTCCCAGATAAGTCCCTCTTATTCCTTTTCTTTGGTTAGGTAGGTCCGGGGAGCCGTAGGGGGCTCCCCACAGAAAACCAGCATTGAATGTAATGAAACAGCATTTTCTGGGTGAGCCCCGGAGGCTCCTGACACCCTCTTTCCCTCCCTCCGGTCTGCAGTTTTTTCATTGTTTTAGAAGTTCGGCCTCAGAACTGAATAGTGGAGCAGCCGGTGCAGAGAGTCCGGGCCCTCCCTCCTCCCTCCCTCCTTCCCCTCCCCCCCTCCCCCCTCCCCCACTCCAGGGGGGGGGAGGCTGCACGGAGGAATGGTGCGACGGCGGGGTGTGACATTTGCTTGTTTTAAAATTTGGGGAGTTCTTTTTCTCTGTTCAGTCTTTGGTAGCAGTTAATTTTTTTTTACAGTGAGGGGTTTGTTTTGTTATGCCTACCTTTCTGGGTGCCAAA